CCCCCCCCCCGTGCAGGCCCGTAAAAGGGGGATGTTCTCTGTCCACGTAATTCTTAATGAGCTTTAAGCCAGCTTCCGAGTACACATGGCACCCACGCATGGGCCCGCTAAAGTTTTTTTCCGGTAAGTTGTTAATTCAAGGAGCTGAAAAGCAAGAAGACTGGAATTTTAAGGGGATGTTCCCCGTCCGAGTACATCCTAATGAGTTCAAAGTTAGTCCCGGGAATGCGTGGCTCCTGTTTACAAGCCCGCGAAAGTTTTTTGCGGATAAGTCACTAAATTTGGAACCTGGAAAGCTAGAAGGCTGAAATTTTTAAGGGGATTTTTCCTGTCCAAGTAGGCATTAATGAGTTCAAACCCAGCCCTCGGAAATGCGTGGTACCTATGTACGGACCCGTGGAAAGTTTTTACGGGTAAGTTGATAACTCGGCAACTTGAAAAGCTAGAAGATTATAATTTTGAGGAAATGATTCCCGCCCTCAAAGGTATTTATGAGCTCAAACTCAGCCTTTGGGTATGCGTGGTACCCACGTACGGGCCCGTGAAATTTTTTCCGGGTAAGCTGCTAACTCGAAAACCTGAGGAGCTAGAAGATTGTAATTTTAGTGGGAGAAAAATGAATGCCATAAAAATGCCATAAAAAATGAATCATAAAAATTGCCATAAAATAAAGAGTGAATCAAAACGGGGTGGACTGTGCGACTGGCCGAATCTTCCAGCCAGGGAGCAGCGATACTTGCCACTGTACAAGACTGGCAGCAAGCTAAACATCTACTATTTATACAAGTGTCCCAAATGCATTCGGTTTTTCTCAGAAGTCTACACGATGAGGGAAAAAACTTCGAGCAACTTTTTCCCCGAACCAATTTATATTAGACTAGAGTACCAACCTTGTTCACTATGTCCAATTATTCACATCCAAAAAAGTTCCAGTAGCTCAAATAAGGCATTTTAACAGAAAGCAAGGCAGGGGAATGCATCTGCATTTTTGTGCTATTAAAGTCAAGCGCATCACTCCCACGAAGCCTGACCGCTGCAGAGAGGAAACAAACGCGATCAATCTGACCTCTGGCTAAACTGGGGAAATTTGCACCGCCACAGGACGTGACTATCAGTTCAAAATGTTGCATGTATTGAAACAATTCACTGTTAAGCACAGAAAAACAGTGAATACCTTTCCACATTCTTTGGCTTGTAGTAATCATCGTTGCTAAGATTGAACGGATCTTTATCGGTGAGTTGCGCTACCGAACTTTCCATCTGCTCATCTTCTTCTTGCTTCTGACGCTGCTGCACTTGACCGAGGATCATTTTCGACTTCTTCGTAAACTGGTGCTCCTGAAATCTCTTTTACAAAACTAACCATATCCAATAGTACAATGCCCTCCTAAAACACACATACACACACGTAAAACACTTGGAAATATTATAACATAGAAACAAATGTGCTCAAACAGAATTCAAATCTAATTTGAAAAATTACCATCAGCTTACTTAGCTCAATGCCGGACCTGCCATTAATTGCTGTTGGCACGCGCTTGCTTCTCATTTAGAGTGATGCATGTAATTTCTCTGACATTTTACGAAAGATAGGTAGGAAGCTGACCAGATTTCATCAACTCTACGGTAAGGCAGCTTGAACTATAAGTACCCCAGAAGCCAGTTTTTATGAAGATTCAGGATGATGAGCATAAAAAACATCAATTAAAGAAATAACTGATGAG